AAAAAAAAAAAAAAAAATCTATGCAGTATCCCCTTTTCAGAGGTGCCTGAAACCCCTGCCCTCTACTTGGGCAGTTAACGCACTCGATCGTGAGTGGCTGAGACAGCAGGGAGATTAGAATGTTGAGCCATCACCAGAAAACCCCAAGGACTATATACTGCATTTTAGGGGAGGCCCTAAAGGGGTGGAGGGGGCAGGACACAGTCCCAAGGAAGAGCTTTTTCAAGAGGGAAACGGAGAATGGAGGACAAGAGGGCCAACAGTGAGGAGGGACATGGCCTGCCCAGCATGCAGGAGGCTCCCTTCCAGGGTTGGCAGCCGGCAGCTTTCAACCTTCCTGGTTGAAGGTGGCAGCAGGCCAAGGGGCCTGACTTTCCCCCTAGCTGAGAAAGCTCCCAGGCTCCCGGGCTTTCCCTTCCTCCCTCAGTTCGGCCTCAGGTGGAGGGGAGGATGGACAGGCCCAAGACCAGGTGGGCTTGGCCACATGCTTTTCCCATGTCCCCTCAGAGGTGGCTGGTGGAGCTGGGCAAGCTGGAAGAGAGGGTGAAGGTGCTGACGATGGAGAAGGAGCAGCTCCAGCAGCAGCTGCAGCAGCACGGGCCTACGTCCTGCACCTGCTGTGTCCTGTGAGGGCCCTGGAGAACAGGCAGGATGGCGCGGCGCTCTCCACCTGAGACCCAGGAATTTCCTGTTTGAGCCTAAGGCCAACCCAGTAAAGCCCATGCAGGCTGCTGAGAGGCGGACAGGGGCTCCTTCAACATGACACAGGAGCCCATGTGGCTTCGACCCTGACAGCCCCCAGTCTGTGTAGCCAAGAAATTGCTCTCAGGCCTGTCCCCAAACGACCTTTCTTTTAGAAAGAACGTGGATTGTCCCTCTCCCTAAAACGCTCATTTGGCCCAGGCTGAGGCCTGTGACTCCAGCTGGCTGGACAGTGCCAGAAGGGAATCTGTCGTTCCAGGAAAGCCCCTCACAGATGGCGAGGCATATTTGGTGACTGTGGTTACAGGGCAAGAGGCCACCCTGTAGCCCCCACCCCTGACTTGCTGGAACTTGTGATTGTCAAAGCTCCGTTAATAAATTACATGCACCTGGGACAAGAATGGTTCTTTCTAGGACACTGGGTCAGCCGGTCAGATGCTGCAGGGTCATGAGTCCCAGGCCCAGCCCACCTCTGTCCAGGAGGCAGAGAACAGACCAGAAAGGCAGGGAGCCCAGCCTCACACTCCAGTCCAGCTGTGTCTTAAAGACCAGGGACCGTGGGGCAAAGTGCTATGCCTCTGTGCTTGTTTCTTCATCTATAAGACAGTGACAATGGCCGGGGGCAGGGGCATTTTGTCACCATCAGGCCAGTGCCCTGTGTCTATGCCAGCTGTGGCACAGGGCAGCACCTCACACTAAGGGTTTCAGTTCCTTTCCAAAACCCCTCTGGTCCAGTAAGACCATTAGCTTAAAACAAACAAAACTAGACTCCTCCTGCGGCTTCCTGCCTCTGGTTTCTCCTGCTGTCTCCACCAGCCGAGCCAGAGGCTGTAAAGCCAGTTTGATCACACTCATGCTGCGCCTGTGCCCACAGCCCTCCAAAATCTCCACTTCAAGAGCAAAGCCCAAACGATGGCCTGCATGGTTCTCCACGATGTAGCCCACCCCACCTCAATGTCTTCCGCCCCTTGTGCAAGCCACTTCAGCCACGCCCACCAACTTGTTTCATTTGCACTCCTGCCTCGGGCCTCTGCGCTAGCCTGTTTCCTTTGACTCCACCTTCAAGTCCATGCTTAATTTCCCACCCATCCTATTTTAAAGACACCACCTCCCAGCACTGCCACTCCTCTGCTCACTTCCACCCTTGGTCTCCATCTATGAACTGCCATACTCTGTAGCTTGTATTTGGTGTTTTCCCCACTAAACAGCTGCTCTGGGGGACAGGGGTTTGGGTATGGTTGGCATGTGGTAGACACCCAATAAATACCTGCTGGTGAGACAATTAAGGATACTCCTAAATTTGGGGTCTGAGCCACCAGAAAATCACCAAACCGTGTTGAACAGGGCATTTCACAGGACCGGTGTTCCATAGAACACACGTCAGTTATCTCCTAAAACTTGAGACCCCTGGCCATATCCACAGAGAAGATACGGATGAGAACTTTGGAACCCCCAGCCCCTCCGCTCACCAGCCAGGTGACATCTCCTGGGCCATCACAACTGCTCTGAGACCTGGTTTTCCCACTTAGCAAAGAGCACACAACCCCTGCCTCAGCTGCCATTCATGCTGGTTCTAGGGACCAGTGTGATCACGGACACCTATACTGTGGCAGGTTCCCAGACTCCTGCTGCTCACCCCCCAAGCTGCCCCAAGGTCACCAAGGCTGCTTGAAAACTATACAAATGTGTTACTCAAGAAGGTGGAGGACTGGCGTTTCTGAGCACCTTCCACAGTCCCGGTACCACTGCTAAACACTAGTCCAGGCACCACAATCCTTGGAAATGTTTTTGGGGGGAAAACAGCAGATTTCTACAAAGGAAGGGTGAAGTCAGGCTTCAGCCCAGCTGCTCCGGACTGCTAAGAACCTGCCCAGACCCCCTGGACTGAAGGAAGTTACTGAAGGGAAGTTACGCATAGCTGTGCCTATTGTTAGGTCACATTAAGAAAGGAATGAGGAATGTGACCAGCTTTCCTCCCCACCAGGGAGAAGCCTCCGGGGACGGGTCAGTAAACACTGGGCATAGGTTGCCCTCCTGTAAATCCAGCTTCAGCCCTATCCTGTCTGCCACAGGCAGGCTGGTGGGGCTGCTTGGGCTTTGCAAGCCCTGCAGTCATTTGGGATCTCTTTTCTCAGAAACCTTACATCTGTGGCCAGCACTTGACAACTGATCAAAGTGATCTTAAACGTAGGGGCAGGAACATAATTACTGGGAGGCTTTTTCACGCCACCCGCACACCCAACCATTGTGGGGAGCCATGACGTCACCAATCGGCATGTTAGACCCTCAGTTTGGGGAATGTTTTTTTAAAAAAAAGGGCCAGATGCAGTGGCTCACACCTGTAATCCCAGCACTTTGGGAGGCCGAGACGAGCAGATCACGACAGGAGTTCGAGACCAGCCTGGCCAACATAGTGAAACCCCATCTCTACTAAAAATACAAAAAAATTACACGGGCGTAGTGGCAGGCAACTGTAATCCCAGTTACTTGGGAGGCTGAGGCAAGTAGAATCACTTGAACCTGGGAGGTGGAGCTTGCAGTGAGCCGAGATCACGCCACTGAACTTCAGCCCAGGCAACAGTGCGAGACTCCATCTCAAAAAAAAAAAAAAAGACTACTGACCAGGTGCGGTGGCTCATGTCTGTAATCCCTGCACTGTGTGAGGATCGCCCTGAGGCCAGGAGTTCAAGACCAGCCTGGCCAACACAGCGAGACCCTGTCTCTCTCTCTATATATAAAAAATTTAATTAGCTGGGCATGGTGACGTGAACCTGTAGTCCCAGCTACTTGGGAGGCTGAGGCGGGAGGATCTTAAGAGCCCAGGAGGTCTGCAGCAAGCCGTGCTTGTGCCACTGCACTCCAGCCTGGGCAACAGAGTGAGACCCTGACTCAAAAAATAAATAAAATTTAAAATGAAGAGTATCTCCTGGTACCACCAGGTGGGAGAAGAGGTTAGAATTATGCTCGATCAGCCTCATTCAAAGTACCATAACAAGCAGTTCTGCTGGTGAAGACAGTCTGGCCCGCGGCTCACTGGCTGTGTATATGGGGTACCCACATCCAGTGCCTGGCAGAGGAGACGACCACCTTCCTAAACCATGCTTATCCCTCCCCTTTCTCAGTCATGAAGCAGTATAAACAGCACCCATGCACCTTTTCATCTCGCTCTACATGCTGAGAACCCGTATTTGAAGCTTTATGAAAAATTCTGGTTCCTATTAAAAAGCAAGCCTCATTTCTTAGTTTTTAAACAAATTCTCAGGTCGTCTGCTGACTCAAGGCTGCTCACCTGCAGGAGCACCCGGCACTGACAATTCAGGTGACCGCACACAGGCACACCAGCACCGTGCTCAGACGCTTCCCATCTGGCCAATGACATAAACAGAATGAGAAGCAAAGCACGTCTCTTGTTCTGCATTATTTATTTATTTCTTAAGTTAGAGTACACATTGAGTCTGGCCAGAATATAGGAGCACATAGCTGTGCCTATCGTTAGGTCACATTAAGAAAATAACTTCATATTGCCCTTTCAACTGCAGTAACACCATCCTGGAAGAAAAACGTACCCTCGAGTCAAAGCTGTCTATATATGAGAGGGTTTTAGAGGAAGTTTCCCCAAAAGACTCTGTTCTGTAAGTGACCCCTTGATGCAAGGAGTGTTTCCCAGCCCTAGCAACAGGAAGCGCAGCCACAGGCATGGGGATTTTAAAATCACGCTTCAGAGACAGACATCTTGGTGTTTCATGTGACACCAAACTGACCGTCCCTTTGGATGACGAGGACCAGCCACAGTTGGCACTGAGAATCCCCCCAACTCAGGGCAGTATAGAGATTTTGTCTCTGGTTTCATGGCTTAGTGGCAAGCAACACCCTGAGGTTCCCAGCACCAAGTGTTCAAATCCTAGCTAAAATCCTCTCTCCATGCTCAGTAAGTCCATGTGGCACACTTTATAACGGTCTAGGCATCCAGGGGAAAGCGACAGGCAACGCGCTAGCATCTGCAATGACGCGAGGTAGTTGAGAAACCAGGTGACCGATGGGGCACTCTGCAGCCCCACCCACCATCAGTTCCCATCCCGATGTCTGCCGCAACTCAAGAACTGCAAGGAGAGTGTCACGCAACAGGCAGACACCACGGAGGAGCCAGTACACATGATGGGACATGCAAGTGACAAGTTTCCCAAATACCTTTCCGCATAATAAAATAATCTTAATAAAAACATAATTTAAAGAAAGTGTCCAAAGCCGAGTGTAAAGTCAGAGCTGTAAACTCTACCCAAGTCTGAAGGATCTCCTGAAGAATCATCCCTGTTTAAAAGAAAAAAAAAAAAAAAAAGTGGGAATTATATGATGTACATTAAAGTAGAAAAGTTAGAATTTCTAGTCAGCTGCCATGGGAAACGAAGCCTGTTTTTCATGGCAGAGCAGTAGAAGGAGCCTAATAGGAATAATTAGACACTACATTTATAATTCCTACAGAATCACATTTTCAAGACCTCACACATCGACTTCTACAACCACCCAATGCAAGCATTTTTTTCTCCACAGCACCTCATCACAGTGTCACTACTGGGCAATTCTCCACTTGTGAGGCAGTCAGAATTCCATGTAACGGACCAAATATCTGCCTCCTTTACTGGCAACAATTCTTGTTATACCAGCTCCTTAGACTGTGAAACAGCCTATAGCAAACCCCCTGGTCAGAGGGTTCATGAGTCCATCTGTGTTCAACGCTTACCTAGCACACAGGCTCTCCTGTCACTAACTTCTCATGCTACCCACCACCTATTTAGGCTATCCCAGGACAGGGGTGAACCAACCAAGGCAGGAGGGAAACAGCTGTGATCAGCAGATCAGACCGGCACGGACCCAGCACCAGAGACCCACTGGTGATGAACACACTGTGTGCAGGATTCAGGGAGGTCCCCCTGCCCAGGCCTTAGGGCAGGAGCAGTGGGGCCACACCCATACCGCTGGTTCTCCTTCCAGACCCCAGATTCCCAACTGACACTTCCTCATTTGATACCTCACCAGCAGAACGCGTACTTCTGCCAACACGGTCCACACAGTTATCCTAGAGGACATTTACGTTTCGTGATGGTGCCCACAGTTACTGCACTTTATGAACCTACAAGTCTTGTCACTTAATAGGCAAACATTTGACGTCTGTTTGGCAATTGTTCCAACTTTGAAGGAATTCCAGAATAAGCAGCAATCAACAAAAAACTGTTCTCTAAGCAGTGTCAGTTTTAAAGTACTTCCTGATGAAAACCTGAGGCTCTGCAGAAATGACAAGTGCCACACTGTCATATCTGTCTCTTCCTTCAAAATCTCCAAATTTTTAGCTACGTCAAACAATAGGGCCTAAGAATTCAGACCCTCCCCACCCCCGG